AATCTGTTCGACGTGTCGTATCACCCTAATGGTTCCGGGTTCAAGCATGGCCGCAGCCATATATTCGTTGGACCCGATTTCTGCGGCCGTCCGAGCCACAACCTCTGTTGTTCGGGTATCGAGGACGACAACCACCCTTCCTTGACCGGCGGCGGTGGTGCCAATCACCCGTGCGCATGGTCAACGTAGTGAATATCGACTCCATACAAATCTCAACGGGCCTTGCGCCGCTCCCTCTCACTTGTCAAAATGCAAGTTCAGGGACACAGCGCCGTTCGTCAAAAAATTGTTACTAGGACAAAACGGATATGGTCGGGTAGCAAAGAGATCGGGCGGATCGTCGAGATGCCCGTGCCCGATGTCCCTTGCCGGCAATCAGCCCAATGGAACGCGGGACAAACTGACACGTGACACTTGCGCGCGAGAGGGGAGAGATGGAAAAGTCGGCGACGGTTCCCCTCGCTCACACGTAGCGCATGGATCAGCAATGGTCGGGGAAAAAGAGGGGAAATCAACACAGTCATGCATACAGGTTGATGCTTGATACCCCAATACTCCCTAGGGTCGCACCTACATGCGCCTTACACCCACAACATCATTTCACATCCATACACCCATGTATCTTGGACAGCAAAGCATTCAGCATCCATAAACCCTCATAACCAACATCATGCATGCGACTGAGTATCCACACTTACTCTACTGCACACATAAACCCTCATAACCAACATCATGCATGCGACTGAGTATCCACACTTACTCTACTGCACACACAACCCTTGGAAAAAGCAGCAATGGAGAAAAGAGCGATTTCCTCGCTATTCAAAATTCCAACAGTGCTGGCCTCCTTAAGGCGCAGCCACCAACCAACCCGAACATCAGCCAACCATAGCCACAAAGCTCTGCCGCTGGCTACGTTGTCTCCCCCGCCGCTCAGTCCCTCCGACTGCTCCACCCCGACTCTCCCGCTAATCCCACCTCACACTGTCACTCCACCCATCCCTTGGGCACGTCAAGCCTGTTCGACGCCGTGGTCTCCGCGCATAGCTCGTGCAACATTGCAGCTGAGATCAAGGAGGAGGAGAGGAAGGGGCTGTGAGAATTTGTAACGCGGATGGCGGCGGGGTGCTAGCATGTGGTGTGGGAAGCAAGGGGTGTAGATGAGCAGGAAAGAAGAAGGAAGGGGTTTCCAAGAGGAACGAAGCAGGCGGAATGATCGACCACTTCGTTCAATTGGAGTGGTCATTCAAGCTGCGCGCGTAACTTCGCTTTTGCGGCATTGATCCGACCATCCCAATTAACGACCAATTAATCGCACCGAAAGGTAAGGGGAGGAGCGGGCGCAGAATTGTTGGAAGACGATGGGACACACAAGGAGGGGCGCTCAGCAAGAACTTCAAGGGAAGATGGCGCACGTATGGAGAGCTGGAAATGGGTTTACGACGGATCCAATAATTCAAAATGGCCACGCGCGCTCTAGCACGTAGAAAATTTAAATGCCGACAACCAAAATTCCTAACTATTTCTTGAATTCCTCTGCGCGGTTGCTAACTGTCCTCGAGGAGAACTACTTTGAACGAGGACAGGGGCAAATCCGAAAGATGCATGCACTTAATCCCCAAAAATGGAAAATGGACCCTGCTTTCCTTGATCAGCTAAGATCCGTTCTTCGGAGCTTACTTCGGGTTTTATTCCGAAGGGTACCTGAAGCCGCGAAGTACGGATCCCGGCTTTTTTTTTTTTTTTTCGATTCCCAGTTGTATGAATATACAAAGCTAAGGGTGTGATCCCACAATGCACCACTATCACAGGTGGGGTTTAAAAAAAAAACAAAAAAAACTTGGGAAAATAACAGAAAATTGTGCCCGCGCCAAGTGGCCCGTGAACGAAAATTGGCATCCCACGAGGCCAAATATTTTGGTGCTTTTACACATCTCGGCGGAAGTCTGTGGGCGGGTGGAGGAGGGAAATGTATTCGGACGGGTTTTGGACCAAATCACACCATCTCTCTCTCTCTCTCTCTCTCTCTCTCTCTCTCTCTCTCTCTCTCTCTCTCTCTCTCTCTCTCTCTCTCTCTCTCTCCNCTCTCTCTCTCTCTCTCTCTCTCTCTCTCTCTCTCTCTCTCTCTCTCTCTCTCTCTCTCTCTCTCTCCGCGCACCGTTGCGAGTGAACAAAATGAGAATGAATCTTCCGCGCAAATGCGAAAAAATTTGTTCTCTCTCTCTCTCTCTCTCTCTCTCTCTCTCTCTCTCTCTCTCCCGGCACGTGGTTCAAAATATGGAAAATGAGAATGAATCTTCCCACGTTCTCGTGGAAGATTCATTCTCAATTTGCTTATTTCGAATTGCGCTGGAGTCTCTCTCTCTCTCTCTCTCTCTCCCACACACACACACCTGTGCATGGAGAGAAATGAGGTGGGTTTTCTTTTTCCGTAAGTATCTCTCTTGTTTATATTTATATTTTTGCTCTTTGTTTTTCGGTCATATTGTTCTACCGGTAGCCTGTGGTTCGGCAAGGTTTGGTGTACTGGACATCCAGGCTCGTCTTCAATAGGTGGGCGAAGTACTGGTAAATCATCGCCCTGTGGAGGAAAATGGACCCCACAGAGATCCTGACCCCAGCCAGGTGGCATGAAGTGTGGAGACAGCCCCTTTTCGGTAATTCACAGATACTTGATATGAATGATCCTGACCCCGGCCAGGTGGCATGAAGTGTGGAGATAGCCCCTTTTCGGTAATTCATGGATACTTGATATGAATGGACCGCGCTTTTCACTGCAAAAGAATTCACACTGGTTATCTTGTGTTAAGAGAGGGATAAACACGCTGGGGGATCTATGGGAGACACAGACCGCTTCACGGAAAATCCCGCAACAGCTTGGGGCAAAGTTGAACAACATAAAGGATATTGACACCAAACTATCTCCACTAAGGGAAGCTATCCCCCTTTGCTGGGAAGAAGCGCTAATGAGAGGACCTACTATCATAAGGGATGATTGGGTCCATAAAGCGGAGGCAAACACCATCCCCATTACGACATACAAAGTCCAACAAGTGACAGGCCACAACGTAAAACTTCTTGCGTATATATTACCCAAACTTGCCGGGGGCCAGGTGGGCTTGACTAACTTGGAACGAACAGCTCGACTCTCCGGAGCAAAGGACGAGGTAACCAGGATAAGGGTGGTGGGAAATGAAGAGGTGGGAGAATTTGTTTATGAAATGGCCACCCCTGACTGTGCTCTGCCGTTTGATTTTGGAGAGTGGGAATGCCCTGCAAAAAAACACGTCCTGGTTTGGCAGTGTATGGAAGGAGGGATAGAAACGTAGCCACACCTTACAGTTATCCACACCAGTGGTGCAGAAAAGGTGGAGTATGGACTACCCGCTGAGGGCATGGATCTGAATGGGATATCGTGGACCACATGCACACATAACTTCGGCCTCGTATTGCGCCCTTCAGTGGCAGATTCTGCACAGATGTCTGCCAGCCCCGGACATGATAGTATCAAGAACACAATTGGAACAAAAGTGGGTGCTGTCTCCAATCTGCTCGTAGTGTGGTGAGTCATCCCAGCGACGGGTTGCAGACTTGCTGGCATGCCCAATGGCTCTCCAGATGTGGAGATGGTGGGATCCAGTGTGCGAAAATTTAACTGCCGCCCCCTTTCCGTGGGACATCAGACTCTTACTGTTGAGAAAGAAAACACTGTTCCCGCCCAACTGGACTGCCTTCCAAACCAACCTCTTCGGTAAGTTGCGCCTGGTAACCCTCATGGTAATCAAGGGCAAGATGCTCAGCGGAGAACAAGGAGTTTTTACCTTTGGCCTCCAGCAGGCCAAAGCTGAGATTGCTGATTCCATCCGGGCGAACATAGTCAGAGCGGGCCAGAAGTTAGCAGAACAACTAACAGACATCACAGACCAATGCAAAAGGCAGGAAATCATCAAACAGTTCGCTGACCCCTGGGTGGATCCCCTCAAGAAAATGTTTGAGATCAAGAGAGAAGGACAGTTGGTATGAAAAAACTGGCTAGGCCAGGAAAGGCAGTGGAAGGTTAGGCCAGTTGAACACTTCACAACACCGTTGCCAGGTGACACTTCAAAAGCCGTCACGCCCACATGAAGCCCGTCTCCTCCCCAAGTCCACCTCCAGGGCGCTCCTCCCCACGAGCCCTCCTCCTGCCCCTCACCCTCTCCCGTCTGAGGCCTCCTCCCCTCCCCCCCCCTCCCCCGGCCTCCCTCAGCAGCTGGCTAAGTGAGATGGGTGAACGCTACAACCAGGGCAAGGCGGTGCAAGAGACAACAGACTCAACGTCATGATGGAACGCAGCAGGCAACAACATTCTTCCCAGCTGTTCCTGGAACAGGGGATGGGAGCAAGCGACCACAGCACTATAAGACAGAGGCCTATTAATCCCCTCCGACACAGCAGGACAATCAATGCAGTCCCAAAGAGTGGAAGGAGGATGGAACTTTTTGCAACAACAGCGATGCTGGGCCCGGTTCCCACACATGTCGATCCCCGCGAATAACACTGGAGCCACCACAAGAGCGGATCTCCCATCAGCGATGCTGGGCCCGGTTCCCATACATGTCGCTCCTGTGTTGCAGTGGGCCACTGCAGCGCCGTGGAGGGTGATTGTACACACATGCAACTCCTGACGAACATCTCTGAAAGTCGGAACCGTGCTGGACAAAAATATCATACAAGGCATAAGCTCCTTTAAAAGAGAAAGGACTAGTGGAACAGGGTGAATGAAAGGGGATGAATGAATCAGAGAAGCATGAATGAATCAGAGAAGCTGTCTCGGGAGAGCTGTGGCTTTGGTTCTTCAGCGATCATGGGGGGAAGCGTGGGTACGTTGTTGTTTTCTTTTCCTGCTGGTGGAGGTGCAATGGAATGCTGCTCCTAGGATGGAAGGAGACTTAAGTTTTTAACTAACAACAACAGAGAAAGGAAGGAGAAAGGAGAAAGAACGAGATCGAAGACAGCGCCTGCGTCTGGGCGGGTGTTACGATGATGCCCTTGAATACTTTGCTCGCTGACAGACATAGTAACAATGCCACGTACTCCTTTCAAAGATCATAATGACTCAGAACCCTCTAGTTGAGCCAATTCCTCAACAACAGAACCAATCCGTGGTCGCTGCTCAGGCATTTCTGTGATACACATCATTGCCAACTCCAACATGTGGCTTACAGCAACCCAGTCAACCTCGCCACACATCTGCATTCGCTCGTCTGCAATCCTCTGGATGACCTCCAACTTCGAAGACTCTTCCGTAGCCCTTCTCTTGCCTTCCTCCTCAGAGGACATGCGTGCAATCATGTCCTCAACCATCTTCCTTACCCATCTCGTCAATACCTGTGGGATTTCCTCCTCTTTCCCTTCCTCAGTCAGCACCAGATCCGTCCCCTTCTCCTCCTCCTCCACCTGATGCCCCCCTTCACCCTTCTTCCTGTAATTTGCAGGGGTACCAAATGCTTTGTAGCCCGTGATGAGCTCGAGCAAGACCACCCCAAATGCATAAACATCGTTCTTTGCAGTCAGTCTGCAGTATGTGAAATACTCGGGTGCCATGTAACCGACCGTCCCTGCCACGTGATAAGTCTCGACTGTCTCGCCAGCCTTCTCTGCACTGAATACACTCTGCCCTTGCCTTGCCAGCCCGAAGTCGGACAGATACGCCCTCAGGCCCGAGCCCCCTCCTCCCTCCAGCAAAATGTTATTACTCTTAATGTCCCTGTGGATGACGGGCGGATCTAACTCCTCGTGCAGAAACTGCAGGGCTTTTCCGATCTGCAGGGCGATGGAGAGACGATCTCTCCACGACAGGGGCCCCCAGGCTGGTGGTTGCCATGGGCAGCTAGTGCTGGTGCAGCCGCTCCCACTGCCAACTGTCTGCACATCTGACTCGGAGAGGTTCCCCCCGATATCACTCACACCATCACCCTCAGACTTGGGGAAAGAAGCCAATTTGAAATGGGGATGGAGACGGTCGTACAAACTTCCCCCTGCAACGAACGGATAAACAATCACTGACTTACCCCCCTCTGCACAGAAGCCGAGGAGGCTAAGGACGTGGCTATGCCGGATTCGGCCAAGAAAATCCAGCTCCGCTTGAAACTGCCAAAGCCTTGCCCGAGACAAGTCCCCATCCTTCATGACCTTCAAGGCTACGACTTGGCCACCAGTGAGCACTCCCCTAAAGACTTCCGCGGCGCCGCCCTTGCCAACCAGATTGCTCGAGTTGAATCCATCACAGGCATCTGCCAGCTCGCTCAAGGAGAACCGCCTAGGACCGGAAGGCTGCAACTCCCGGGTTCGAACTCCTGACAAGCTCCTATTCGTGTCCCAAGTCGATTGGAACCCAGACTTGTCCCAGAATGAACCTGAGGCACCAAATCCTGATTCTGACGCGCCATTCCCGACGGGCAACGTGAGACGTGCTGTTTCCTGTTCTCCTCCAGGCTGCGGTGCATCATCCTTTGTCCGAAGAGAGCGTCCTAATCGCCTCCACAGTCGCCAATGCCACACCCAGTCACATTCTGCCCCTCTCCTTATCTTCACAGCTAGAGCAACAGCGATGAGAAACCCAACCAAAGCCGGTACGGTAACAGCTAGGGCGATGGTAGTCCTAGAGGCTCCGTTTTTTTTGTCGGGATCACCGGAACACTTGGGCAGTACCGAATTATTCACACTTATTTCGAACACCGACCCAGCGCCGGCTGCCGCATACAGAAGCTCGTTGTTTGGATGCATGGCCAATCTTATCACTGGCACAGAAAGTTTGGCAACAGTACGGACATATGCCCCATTTCTCTTGAAGCTGACCAGGCGTATTCGTCCCTTCCCTTCATTCATCTCACCGACAAAGAGGTTACACCCATCAGCCGTAAGTGCCTGCCCGAGAGGTGCATTAAACCTTGCCTCCGAGGCTAGACCATCTGCTCCACCAGGCACACCTAGGGATCCGGCGACCGTCTCTACCGCCCGACTCTCGATCAGCACACGCCGAACGACATGGCTGTCGTGCTCGAGTACATACATGGCCTCCCCATTGGCGGTGATGGCAGATGTGCTTAAGTACACATTACGAAATAGGGGGATCATAGGGCTGTCCACCACGCCCGTCTTCGCAGGTAAGCCTAGCCATAGCTTCGGGCGATCATCGTCAGTCCCCGTCAGGTTCATACGGTAAAGAGCCCATCTTGTGGAAGCGTATAAGACCCCGCCTCTGGAATACCCCGCCAGGCTTGTTATAGGGGCGCCGCTTGTGTCAATGGTGAAATTGCGGAAGTCCTCAATAGCAGGGTTCCGTCCGTCAATGGAGAACCAACGTAGCACACGATTTGCCCCGTCTTCAACGAATATAACTTTTCTCGTGTGGTTCTGACCACCATCCTTTATATCAACGATAACCAATGCCGTCAATTCTGCCCTTCCTCCGCCATCACCCGGCCAAGGACCGAAGATGGGAGTTACTTCGCTCGACTGCCACCGGGATCCCTGTGCCATCCTCGTTGAAGCATTTCGCCGCCAGACAATCCCATTCAACACGAAGAAGACCGAATCACCACCCTCCTCTGCAGCAGCGGCAAGAACAGCCACGTCCTCCGTTACGGTATCGCTTGTGTAATTGACGGAGTTGTCAACCAACTGCTTCCTGCAGGTCAGCAGGTCTGATATGCTTTGAAAACTGGGCAGGCATCCGCTGTCATTAGTCTGCAGCCATCGACGGCCCAACGACCACCCTTTCAAGTTCTCTGCGTCGTCACTTACGTCGTGTATGCTTGGTGGTGGGTTGGCTCCAGAGAGTAGACGCTCGCGGGTGTAGATGGTGGAGATTATTGCCATGGCAACGACCAACATCATCAGCAGCATCAATCGGCATCCTGATGACATTATTGTGCCGGCTCCTCTGGCCGTGGGGATCACCATCAATCATAAGGGAGAGAGGGGGGGATAGCTTTATGTAGATACAGTAACAAGTACACAAAACCGTGGGGACCACCATCAATCATCAGGAGACTCGGAAATAGATTTACCTACATAGTAAGTACATGAAAAGGTACAACCATACGATTATATTACATCTCACAAGGAGGACAAGAGAGAGGGGAAGGGGACGGGGGGGGGAGATAAATGCATGTTCCAAACCATGAACACAAAGCATGAGCTAGACAGCAACAAAGATGCCGCACGTGAACTCCATGTTTTTGAAGTGATGGAGTACGGCAACAAATACATATGTTCCAAATCAGAACAGGCAGGCTTGATGTCTTTCTTGCACCATGTCATCTTTCTTTCTCTCTCTCTCTCTCTCTCTCTCTCTCTCTCTCTCTCTCTCTCTCTCTCTCTCTCTCTCTCTCCTCT